CCCATCACATCTGCACCAGTCAAAAACAACCACACAACTATTCTAAACCCATCTTCCAGCAGTTGACCCACAGCTTTGTATACCTTGGCATTGCAAGCACACATCTAAATACTTCTTAAATGTTATGAGGGTTTCTGCCTCTACCATGCTTACAGGCAATGTGTTCCGGATTCCCACCACTCTCTGGGTAAAATATATTTTCCTCAAATTTTCTCTAAACCTCCTGCCCCATACCTTAAATCTATGTTCCCTGCTTGTTGACTCCCGCAACGGGAAGACTTCCCTTCTGTCTACTGTATCTGTGACCCTCATAATTTTAAACATCTCAATCATGTCCCCTCTGCTCTAAGGATAATAACCCCACTCTGTCCAATCTCTCTCCAGCCCAGGCAACTTCCTGGTAAATCCTCTTTGCACCCTCTCCAATGTTTATCACATCCCTTCTATTCTATGGGATAGTAGGAATTGCCGATGCTGGAGTCAGAGGTAACACAGTGTGGAGCTGGAGGAACACAGCAGGCCAGGCAGCGTCAGAGGAGCAGGAAAGTTGACATTTCGAAGGGTCCTGACCCAAAATGTCAACTTTCCTACTCCTCTGATGCTGACTGGCCTGCTCCCTTCTATTCTATGGATGTGGGAACTGCATGCAATACTCTAACCACGGCCTAACCAATGTTTTATGCAATTGATGTCAATTTTCTTCTCGGGATGTATATATGACGAAAATAGTTGCAAATGCAATGTGACACTCACTTCACTCCAATAACATCAAGCAAATTGCACGACAAAGCAATCTAATATTAATTAAGTTGATATTAATTAAGGAAATAGTGCTCTGAACCAGAACAAGGTAATAAATAGTAAGGCAATTTGGTTCTTTGCCCCTTGCAACCCCCATCATCCCCTCGGCTCTTGCCCAACTCATTTCTTCGTCTTGTGCGAACTAAGAGAGTAAGTTTACAGGTCCGTTATTGTGACAGCTGACCAGCCATGTGCAATCCTGTTCTCACCTATTATCTGTTTAAGATGGTATATATTTACTCCTTTGAAAAATGTTCTTGGAGAACATCAGTAATTCCTGCTTGACCTTGCAGAACCATTGTGGTACCGACTAAACTATTCAGGCCCTTGCTCGACATCTAAGAGATTTTATGAAGTCTTATTTCATTCCTTTTAACCAGCCAATTAAGTGGCTTAAAGGATGTAAAAATCATGCCATATACATTCCAGGAAATGATCACCTTATATTCAAGAGAAAGATGAAGCAGATCCTTATTGATTTCAGAAACACACCATCACTGAGTTCCCCACAGCCACATCTTATGAGAGCACTGACATCACAAGGACCATAGTAGTTGAAGGAAAAAGCCTACCACTGTCTCTTCAGGAGGAGTAGAAATGGGCTATCAATAAGACTTACTCACCTCCTGAGAATGTAAATAGTCAATTGCCGTGTTTAAGGATGATATCACTGAATAACAATGAAATTCAGAAGGAAGGGCTGTGAACAATTCCAGAGGTGAGTCTGGTAGCAAGAGTGGAAGGAGATACAAAAGCTGTGTGTGGACATGTCAGAGTGGAAACAAGTAAGAAGATTATCACCAAGGGCATTTGTGAGAATACTACGTCAACCATGCTGAATGACAGAGAGCTATGGGAAGGCATGGAGCACGGTCAGTGATCCCGAGACTAGTTTGGAAAGATTGGTTCTCAATAGCAGGCCTATGTCTCTTTCTGTCTAGGCTCAAATGTGAAGAATTTAGCTCGGTTCAGGAAAGTGTGAGTTGTAACCTTCCAAATCTCAACCCAAACGTGGAACGGAAGGGAAAATGGGGGCTAGAACAGTGCATGCAGATGAATGAACAGGTTTTGCTCCAGTAGCTCCATTTTGTGTGATACAAGCAGACAGGCACCCATTTGAAAGGGGTTTTAATAGGTACAAGCAGTGGAACAGTCACAGTTAAACAGGTAATGGGGTGAGTTTTGTCAGATGGTCAGATGTTCTTTTTCATTTTTTTTAAGCCCCTTCCACTTCTGAGGATGCGAAGTCTTCACTTTCCTCCCCTCCTCTTTGCTTTCTGTCAACTCCAGTCCCCTACCAAACTTTCCTCCACTACCAAACCCAAAACTGGGAAGCTTTAGTGGGACACAACTCTCTGTCCACAACTACCACTTGCAGTTCCATATGAACTTTCATTATGGTATTTTGGTATTGCTATCACAAGATGAAGACACCCAAGTGCTTTCCATGTCAGATCAATGGATCAGAAATGGTACCTTGCGGATTCAAATCTGGTGGTGTCTCACTTTCCTTTTGAAATATCAACACAAAATCTCGAACTACCACAGTCGACAGCAGAAGACGAACAATATGCCAAACATATTACTGTAGTCACACTGGTGCCATGACCCCGTTGGGAAGGGTACACTGAAATAAGCCCTACTATTCAATGGGCTGTTACAAATATATAACCAGGATGGTAAATCTACCTGTCTTTGACCTCTTTCTAAGTTTAGAAAAAACTGCATTTCTTTAAGAAACAAGAAAGCAAAACTTAATTACAAACAAGCTATTTTTTACGAAATGGAAAAACAGAATGTTAATTGCTAATTCACAGGCAAATTTATACCCCTTTCAATTCCAACACACATCCACATTCATTCACAAACAGGACAGACAGTTCTACAGAAATCAAAGGTAGAAAACATAGGCAAAAAAGAACAAATTCGGTGGATCAAGAGTCCAAACCACGTGAGCGCAATGAAGTCAATTTCTCACAGTTCTTTTGGTTTTTGTTGATGATATTACGTTGTTGTTGACCACAGCAGATTCTCAAGTTGATAGCCGGTCAGTTGGACCTAGGGTTGATTTGAGTTAGAAGTCCCCATTTTTTACTCTTTGAGTGCTTTTTCTTCCCCACTCTCAGTGGGGTTAGTAGGGGAGAGACAGACTGAGAGAGACATAAATCTTGGCTTGCAAATTTTTCTTACTTCTCAGTGGAACTTCCTCTTCCCTCTCAATTCTGTAACTAATAGCAACTTAACTCTAAAAGCTGTTGCAAGGCAGTTTTCAGCCAAAAAATACCTGGTCCCTGCTTGTCCCCCAAAAGTATCAAATCCAGCTTCTCAAAGTTACTTGTCCCTGTGTAACCAATAAGCAAAAAACACTCAGTTTTAGGGTTGATCGTTGTTTAGAAAAACCTGCACATTTTCTCCAACACAGCAGTGTCCAAACTCACTTTTCCAAGTTTGCTTTTTAAAAATATATATTGTCCTTACACACAGAAATTTGTGCAAATATGTTGAGCAACTGCTTCACTGTCATTGATTAGTAATTCTTAAAAGGATCAAATATTTGCAAAACATGATAAGGCATTATTGAACTGAACATCTTGTCAAATGCCTTACTCACTAAACTTGGGTGCATTCGCTGTTAAGCGAAGGGTTCAGGTTTGGTGTGGTGTATAGTGATGAAAAGGGAAATTAATGATTGGAGATGTAAAAGGGGCAAAGCAGAAACCGTAAGAGGTACTTTGAGGAGAAAGTGAGAGAACAGCTTTTTGTAAAGGGAGTAACATTCACTTACCATGAAAGAATTAAAAAAAAACCTTGTGTATTATTAAATTTTAAAAGATAAGTGAAAAAGGAGAGAAACAGAAAGAAAGATGAGAGACAACAAGGTGCAGGGCTGGATGAACACAGCAGGCCAAGCAGCATTATAGGAGCAGAAAGGCTGACATTTCTTTCCAGACTGAAGTCTGTAATGGTCATGTCAACTCCTAACGTTATTAGGCTTTGGTTAGGCCACACTTGGAGTATTGTGTTCCATTGTGGGTGCCACATTACAGGAAGGATGCGGAGGCTTTGGAGAGGATGCAGAAGAGGTTTACCAGGATGCTGCCTGGATTAGAGGGTATGAGCTATATGGAGAGGCAAGAAAAACTCAGGTTGTTTTCTCTGGAGTGGCGGAGGCTGAGGGGAGACTTGAAAGAAGTTTATAAAATTATGAGATGCATGGATACAGTTGATGTTCAGAATTATTTTCCCATAGCTGAAATGTCCAACACGAGGGGGCATGCGTTCAAGGTGAGAGGGAGATAGTTCAAAGGAGATGTGAGGCGCAAGTTTTTTTTACACGGAGAGTGGTAGGAGTCTGGAACACGCTGCTAGGGATGATGGTGGAGGCAGGTACCATAGGTGCATTTAAGAGATTTTTAGATAAGTACATGAATATGCAAGGGATGGAGGGATACGGACCAAGGGCAGGCAGAGGGGACTTGTTTAATTTAGTGTCATGTTCGGCACAACATCATGGGCCAAAGGACCCGTTCCTGTGCTGTGCTGTTCTACGTTCTGTCAACATTCAGGTTATAACTGCACTCCGTGGCTCACACCCAGAGTTCGCAGAAAGTCCAGTGTTGGAGGTCATGGACAATCATACATGACTGATCGAGGCCGTTCGGCCCATCGTATCTATGATGGCTTTCAGAAAGTGCTATTTCAATTAGTTCCATTCTTTCCTGTAACCTGGAATTTTTTTTTTCTCCTGACATAAATTCCTTTTATTATTGAAACTGCGACCACCAACCTTGCAGGCAGTGCAGATAATAGCAACTCACCGAATAAACGCATTTTCCTCCTCAACTCCCCCCCCCCGCCCCATCGCAATGGTCGCCTGGAATGTAAAAAAAAGTCTCCCATAAATAAATATTCCTGTATTAGCAAAGCAGTTTGACGCAAATTTGGAATGTAAATGACATGAGGGCGAAGCGGCGAGCCTAGTGGAGGATCATGGCTTTAAGCACCAAGTTGTGGACCTTTACGAGGAGTTCAAGCAAAAGCGTCCCAGTGTGTTTAAAAAAAAAACCACATACACAAATGTTTGTCTTTAGCCGCCAGCTCTGTATGGTCCATTTCCGGAAACTGGCAGCAATAATCCGTTTGGCAAACTGAGAGAAGGCTGCAGTTTTGTTTTCACTGTAGTTTGTAAGTGGGAAAGAGCAAAGAAGACTGCAGACTGTAACCAGCGACAGGTGAGACTCTCCACTGAAGAAACAAAGTCACTCGGTTGTTTCAGACCAATCTGTCAGCTTTTAACAGGTTGGTAATGAATAGCCTAACTGCTGTTTACAGGCTGTATGGACGTGTGTGTGTGTGTGTGAGTGAGTGAGATCTCTCTCTCTCTCTCAACTTGTTCCCAGCTGATCTTGGCCAGACCAGTGAAATGGCAATTCTCGTTTTCTGATAATCCTGATTCTTTTCAGCGTTTCTCTTTCCCCTCGTTGATAATGCCATTTTACGTGTGGAGTGTTATTTCATTGAGTCACAGGACTGCCAGATTACTTGCTGTTTAATTTAGAAAAGTCACACGTTTCCAGGGATTCCCCTCTCTGAATCTGATCCTGGGTCGGAGGTAAATTAAAACGTAAAAGTTGATTTCCCCCCCCCCACTCTTTTTATTCCATTAATTGTCCACAACGTAGTAAAAACGACATGTATTGATTAAAAAAAAGTTTAACATTTGTAACAGTTTGTGCGCCACTTTTTTTTTCCTCTTGCCATTTTTAAGTGTTTTGTGGCTTGAAAAAATGGAGTGAAGGGAACCAAATATTCTGACAGTCTCAAAAAAGTCGAAATTAATCCTTATGGCCTAGAATATGCTTTGCTATATAGTCTGCAGTTTGTTGACAACTTCCTCCTTGTTAGGGGCACAACTAAGAAGGGGCAAAGATTAAACTCCCAAAGATAATTCAATTTAAATCGAATTGAAGTCCACACTTTTATGTGAGACCTTTATTTCATTTAGCCACACTTAGTAAAACTCTTAACCCACTGACCGCAGGTCTCCATATTTACACAACCAATTCAAACCCAATGAATATATTTATCACTTATTCGCTCATTCCTTCTGACCATGTTAGATAACAGTAAAATCACTTAATCTCCTTTGATTGAAGTGAACAAAATGGCAGTTTGCTTGTGAAAGAGTGTTTAGCAAACTTAAATGTTTGCTATATTGGTTTCATCCAGTCACTGTGTCCCTCTCCTTTGAATCACTTTTTCTAGTGATCATCATTAGTCATAGCGGTCCACAGCACAGAAGCAGGCCCTTTGGCCCTTCAAATCTGTGCTAGTTTAAAAACAACCACCTAACTATTCTAATCCCATTTTCCACGACTTGACCCATAGTCTTGTGTACCTTGGCATACCCTGTGCACGTCAAACTACTTCTCAAATGATGTGAGAGTTTCTGCCTCTACTGCCCTTTAAAGGCAGTGAAAATCCAGATTCCCACCACAGTCCAGGTGAAAAACATATTTCCTCACATCCCCTGTAAACGGTTTGCCCCTTACCTTAAATCTACGTCCTCTGGTCATTGATCCTTCCACCAAAAGGAAAATTTTCATCCTATCTATGGCCCTCATTGTTTTGTACACCTTAATCATGTCTTCTTTGCACCCCCACCCAGTCTCCACTGTTCCTAGGAAAACAACTGTGCAGCAACCTGGTAAATCTCCTTTGCACCCTCTCCAGTTCAGTTACATTCTTCCTATAACATGGATTCCAGATCTGCACACAATATAATTATTGTAGAATGTTGTGTTGCTGTGTCACCTTGTATTTACGTAATGCTTTTAATATACTAAAATGATCTTCTGCCCTGGATGGAAATGCAAAGATGAAAAAAAATCGTATAAAACCAAAAATGCCCGTAAGACATAGGAACAGAAATAGGCCATTTGGCCTATTGCATCTGCTCTGCTATGCAGTGAGATCATGGATAATCTGGTAATCCTTGACTCCATGTTCCTGCATTTTTACCCATAATCCTCGATTCCCTTACTGATTGACAATCTCTCAATTTTAGCCTTAATGGCTGAATGCTACAGCCCTGTGCAGTATTAGAATTCCACAGATTGACTGACTGCCTTTCTGAGAGAAGAAATTCCTGCTTATCTCTGTCCTAACTGGGTGACCCTTATTCTGAGATTTTTGCTCACTGGCCCTAGACGTTCCTCCAAGGGGGAAATAACCTCTCCTCATCTGCCGTGTTAAGTTCTGAAGAATTTTATGTTTCAATAAGTTTGCCATTCATTCTTCTACACCTCAATGAGTATAAGCCCAAACTACTTAATCTTGCCTCGTTTTAAAACAAGACACTCCATATCCAGGATCAACCGAGTGAACCTTCTCTGGATTGCCTCCAACGCCAGTATATCTCCCTTAGATATGGGAACCAAAACTGTTCGTGACACTCCAAGTGTAGTCTAACCGATACCTTGTATGGCTTTAGCAAGACTTCCTTTTTATTCAAATACTCCATTCCCTTTGTACTATGGGCTAACATTCTGTTTACCTTCCCTATTACCTGCTAGCTTTTTATGCTCAAATCCCTCGGAGCTGCAGTTTTTTGAAGTCTTTTTCCATTTTAAATAATACTCCATTTGAATAATATTCTAACCCTCTATTCCCCCATCAAAGCACCTTTTCCCACACGTTCCATTTGCCAAATTTTTCCTCACTGGCTTAACCTGTCTGTATCCCTCCTATTAAGTCATCTGCAAACTCGGCTATAGTATGTCCACTTCCCCCATCCAAGTCAATGATATGTATACTGCAAATAAATAAGCTCCAGCACTGATCCTTATGGGACTTCACCAGGCACAGGTTGCCATCCTGAAAAATTCCGCCCCCCCTTATCCCAGCCATCTGTTTTCTCTTAGGCAATCTTCCATCAAAGTTCATATATTACTCCCAACATCGTGAGCTCTTATCTTTATTAAGTATTTTAGCAAATATCTTCTGGAAATCTGGTGGATCATATTGTGGTACTTCCAAATGTTCTGCTATTACATCATTTACAATAGACATAAACTAATTGGCCTATAATTACTTGTTTTTTTGTCTCCGTGCCTTTTTTAAATAAAGGTGGCAGTTTTCCAATCCTTAAGCACTTTTCTGGAATTTAAAGATTCTTGAAGATTTCTACCAGGGTATACAACATCTCTCTAGCTACTACCTTTAATATCTTAGGTTCACTCCATTTGGTCCGATGGATCTGACTTTAGCTCAGTTAGATTCCATTATACTTGTTTTCTTTCATGATAGTTATTATTTTACTCTCCCCGTTTTGCCCCTTGAATATTTAATAATTTTGAAATGCTGTTAGTGTCTTCTACTGTGAAGACTGAGACGCAGTATTTGTTCAATTGCTCTGCCATTTCCTGGTTCCCTGTTATCACTTCTTCAACCTGTTCACTGAGGGCCTTATGTCCACTTTGACTTCTCTCTTCTATTTTATATATTTAAATAAACTCTTGCTGTCCATCTTAATATTACTTGCAAATTTAGCCTCAGTTTATTTTCTCCCTCTTTTAGTTTTGGTCATCCTTTGTTGGTTTTTACATTAAACTTTCCTATTCCACTGGTTTATCATTAATCATTGCCACATTGCATGTTTTTTCTTTCAATTTGATGCTATCCTTAAGTTTGCTAGTTAATCATAGTTGGCTTATACTCTTCTTGAAACATTCTTTCTCACTGGAGTACATCTTTGTGAGTCATGAACTATTTTTCTAAATGTCTGCCATTGTTCCTTGACCACATTTGTTGCTAAACACTTTTGCCAGTCCTCTCCATCTAGTTCTGCCATCATTCCTTTGCAATTATCCTTACATAAGTTTAGCACAATTGTTTTTAATCCAGGTTACTTTCAAACTGGTTGCTAAGTGGTATCATGTTACAGTCACTCTCTCCAAGGGGATATTTTATTTTACTCTGACATAGTATATTAAACCTGCCTCATTACACATCATGAGGAGGGTTCTTCTGTTGCTGTGGTAATATCGTTACAGCTGAGCTAGAAGGCCCAGTTTTTATTTTTGTGTCCTACTTGTTCCAGAAGTGTGGTGTAACATCTCTTAACTAGTTGATTAGAAAATATCCACATATCACCAGATCTAAAATAGCTTGATGCCTGGCTGGATTCACATTTTTTTTTTAAAGAACTGTCAGAAATATTCTTTTTCTCATGGTTACCTCTGGGAAATTTAAATTTCCCAATCTACATGAAGATTCCTGACTAGAGTACTGCCATTTTTATATGTCCTCATTATCTCCTGATTTATTCTCTCTCCTTCCATACAACTAATGTTCAGGGGCCTTTCGGCTACTTTTACCAGTATCTCCTTGTTATATCGTTACTTCCACCCAAAATGATTCTTCATCTTCTGACACAAGACCATTTCTTGATTTCTGCTTATTCAATTCTGTGCTAACAAAAGTACTCACTTCACTGCCCTTTCCTTCCTGCCTGTCCTTTTCAGAAGTCACATTGAATATTTTGATCCCATCTTTGTTCTTATTCGAACCATGTCTCTGTAACATCTATACGATTAATCTTTATTTGTACTATTAATTCATTTATTATGTTTCAAATACTACACACAGTCAACGGTGACCACAAGGGTATTGTTAATTATTGCAAAACTGGCTTACTAATGTCCTCCTGAATAAGCAATCTGCTATCCTTGCCTGGCCTGGTCAATGTGCAAACTGAGATCCACAACAATGTGATTCCCTTGGCTTGTTCGCTAAGCCATTTCTGTCAGTGCATCAAATACTGGCCGTGCCAGTGACGCACATATTCCATGAAAAAAAAATCCAAATCGCATTGTTACATCAGTTGAACTTTTACACAAGAGACAAAAGCCATACTCTTAACGTGAAATAGGAACAGGCCTTTTGGCCCCTGCGGCCATAGGCAATATGTGCTTACAACAGACATAATGATGTAAGTTCCTAAGTGATTCTGTTCCTTGACAGCATCAACTCTTCTGTGATTTGACACTTTTCATAGAACTATAGAATACCTACAGCGTGGAAAGAGGCCATTCAGCCATCGAGTCTGCACCAACTTTCCAAAAAGCATCCCCCTCAGAACTAGCCCTGTACCCTAATACTAGTAACCTCATGTTTATCATGGCTAATCTACCTAACGTGCACATCTTTGGACCATGGGAGCAAACCGGAGCACTCGGAGGAAACCCACACGGACACAGAGAGAACATGCAAACTCTCCATGGATAGTCACCCAAGGC